GACAAAAAGGGAGGAAATATTTGGGATTGGTCTCAAAATTATTGTGCATGAAAATTACGGTAATGTCATATAATGGCAGTTGTTCTGATCAATCTAATGCCCTCTGGTGTCTGTTGACAGAATACAGAAGTAGAACAATATTTAAACTTGGACAATTGAAAAAAAGAATTAGGAAAGCAAATATTTTCCTTGTGAAACTGAAAAACTTGAAAATCTAAAAGATCAATAAACAAGGGGCAATAGCTAAAGCCAAAACACAGTGAAAAGATATACACAAGATTCTGAGCAAAATAGAGATAAATGAATAATATAGAAGTTATGTTGAACATTCACTCAACAGTATTGATCATATATATTATATAATTCACATATTTATAAAGTGCCCCTCTTTTCAGAGTTGAATGTTTCAGCACTTTCCAGAAAGCCTGTCCCCAACAGTTTATTTAGCAACTGTAAAGTTTATTTTATATAAAAATTTTATATAAAGTTTATTTTATATAAAAATGTGACTATTTTTTTCTTTATAAGGGGATTTAGTAAATTTCTCTATTTCTTCTTTTAATTTTTAATTTGGGTCTTTCCTTTACCTTTGGCTCTAGTTAAATGCTGAAGCAGCAGACAGACTCACAAGCTTGGTGACTTCCCATCTCCATGTGAACTCATATTTGTTCGGGTTTGTTTTTTCCCATGAGGACTACTCTGTGGTCAATGATGGTCACCTCTCTTCATTGTTTAGATGGACCCTGGTTTTGCCTGGTAAAGGCTGTTCCACAAAGGAGCTAGGCCTAGGCATTTACAGATGGAGGAGTGTTTGAGTATATGAGGAAGAATGATGATTCTATTGTGCCGATTGTGTTCTAAAAATAGATACAAATGCTGTAGAGCTGATATTTCTTCATGCTTCTCCACTAATCTGGAAAAGGATTATTTTTCCAATCCTGTTCCCATATGCAGCTACTATAGTGTGGGGCAGCATTTTTGAGGAGGCTGCCTCTGTTGAATCAATGCTACCTGGTTTTGGGGAAACACTGGGAAGTTAGTTTTATCAAGCAAACTCTCATTCATCCCTCAAGTCTCAATTTAAGTAGCTCTTCCTCTGATTATCTCATAATTTCATATATTTATAATTTAATTTAGAAATTTCTGATTTAACCCTAATGCCATTGCATTATCATTTATATGTCTCCCTCCTCTACTAGAATCTAAGCTATTTGAAAATGGGCTGTGCCACTAACCTTGACAAATTTAGTATCACTTGCATACAGACTACTTAGAACATAGTAGAAATTTAAAAATATGTCTCTTGAATGAAAGCAAAAATGTATAAATGAAAGGATAAGTGAAAGTATGAACCTAAAGTTAAAGACCAAGTGATTTTTATTTTTTATGTCAGGTCTCTTGTTCTTTCCCTTTTATTGTAACTTCAATTATAGTAAAGTGGATTTGCTACCAAGATTCTCCAGGGGGGGCAATGCAGAATGGCTGAATTCAACCTGGCAATTTTGCCTCAGATCTTGGATATCATGTGGAAATTCAAGGAGAGACTGTGAGCCCTCTGCCTCTAGATACTCACTTATGTAAAAGATTTAATATTCACTGAGACTTTAAAAGAAAATATATTTTCTTTCCTTTGCATTTGAATTTCTTATATTTTCTTTGCACTGACCATTTGCTTTATTCTGTAAAGACCCTTATGAATGGGAAACAAGGCAATGAGGGGCAAGTAAGAGTTAGAAAAAGAAGATACAATAAAGAGACGATAAGTTTCTATGTGCTAAAATGGTAATATATTAGCCTAAACATATAGCTTACAGAGCTTTTAAATATCTGAAAGTGGAAATATTCATCTTTCTCCATGTACATTCTTCTTCTATTCGTCAAAGATAAAAGGATGTTGCTCTTAAAATACTAATGGCTTTCAATACTCCACTCCTTTGGTTGTGTGAATTTCCTTGTTTATTTACACTGATTTTAGCCCATTATCATGTATTAGTGCAATTATGGCTCATTACATAATTAGTGTAAATATTTGTAGGCATGTGATAACAACATGCAATTATGATATGGAATGATGTCATAAATAGTCTCATTGAAAAGAAGTAAAAATTCATATAACTATCTTTTATAGGAGAATAGTAGTTATATATTTTAAGTACAGAAAATATATTATACTTTTTAACCTCCAAAAAGTTTATTCCAAAGGTATTCTGAATACATGTAAACAGACTCTCAGTCTATTGATCATTGAGGTTTTGAATGCTACCAGCAGCAAATCCCCCACCCCCAAATGAAGTAAGAATGAACTTCAAACAATATTATAAGTGTCTGGAATTATGGAAGAGCATAGACTCCCCATTAGTAAACATATTCTGTATTTGATTAGGTATTTGGAAGTTGTACAAATGTTATGATTACAATATGTGATTCATTAAAACGTGTCAGTATGGCACGTTTGCAGTATGGAATTCTGCAAATGGGCTCCTGACCAGATCATCAGTGCAGTGTTTTGAAATAAGAGTCATAACTTCAATCTTTAGCAAAGTGCTAAACACATAGTAAGCATTTACAAGGTTTGCTGGATGAATAGAGCTATATGGCTACACCAGAAGAAAAAAAAATGAATCTATTCCAACTCATAATTTATGACTATGTTAGATGTTAATAAATTTTTGAAATTTTTGAGGAGTCATTCATATTGATGTCTCTGTAAAATTCCAGCACTATTATAGGCATAAGAAGCTTTCAAAATTAGAGAGGCTACGTGACATCTGATGAGGTTAAATATCATAGTCAGCAGACAAGGATTCATAAGATCTAACAAACATTGGGGAATGATTGGTAAGCACATTGAAAAATAAGAGATCGTATTAACTTAAAATACAAAGTTAATTCTATCCTACACACACTATTTTCTTTCCATATAGAGAAATCGATTTATTAATTTTGGAATACAGACAACGGATCCTTCCAAAACTGAATACCAGCTCCCCTGTCTTCCCCAAACTCTGGTTTTGAGGGGTGAATTGCTTAATCAAATGTAATTCTTAAAATAGAAATTATTTTTTCTATTTAAAAAATCTAAACTATTTTCCTATGTTACAGCTTAATAAATGTATTTTTATAGTAACGATTTGAGAATTTTAATAAAACTAATTTGTTTTATTCCCATTGTGTCTATACCTCCATGCAGTAATGACTACTGAAATATCTTTTTAGAATTTTTCTGGGGAAAAACTTGAAATTCTATAGCTTTCTGTAGAACATTTGGTCCACTCAGAGGAATCTGTAAAAGAATAATTATTATCTACAGCATCATTTATTCATGAACATTGAAGAAAGAAAAGTTACTGAATTTCATCATGTAAAATATTTAATATCCTGTGTTTCTTTTTTGGTGGCCATTGTCCAGGGGCTTTGGGCTTTCTATCAGAATATTTTCTAGCCAGGTGAATCAAATAATAATGATGTTTTAGGTCTTTTAGAAACTTTGAAAAGATTGACTACTCTGCCTAATCTTTATTTTTCTTTAGGTGGAGTGGGTGGTGGTTAAAAATCCCTTCTTAAAAGAAACAACCTGGTAGTCACCTACTGGCCATCCTGTTGTCTTCATTTTGTGTTTGTACAGGGAATATAGGCAGCTTGGTGTCCCTTTGGATTCATGAATTCGATGGTCCCTCTTGTAGCACACTTAACAGGAGGTTAAAGGGACGATGAGTAGAGACGTGATTTTGCCTTTATCAAGTATAAGTATTTATCCAGAGAAGGTACAAGTTTAATTTGATAGCAGTTTATCCATTCTCTGTCAGCCACTTCAAAGAGGCATGTAAAGCCCACCAAGTAGATTGTTTGCTTAGTGGGTCAATAAAGGTCTTGGGCAAACAATTATACATAATACATAGACACCAATGAGGACAGTCTTTCGCTTCTGGATGTACTGTTCCATCGTGTAATAATAAAGCAATGATTATTTAGCAAACTGGAAGTCGAGATCTACAGTCAACCCTCCTAAATGCTATGCAGAGCAAAAATAAAGGAAATGCATATACACAGTATCTTCTGGGTTTAGCATTTGCAGCGCTTGATATTCTACCCTTCAAACATATGTGATCTATATTGGACCCTTCCTAATTCTAACATACAAAATTTAATTTTTATATACTTTTTTCAATTCAAGTTGATATTTAATATTGTTTTATATTAGTTTCAGGTGTACAGCATAGTGGTTAGACATTTATATAATTTACAAGTGGTTTCCTTCCTCTTCCTATTACTCAAGTATCCACCGGGCACTATACATAGTTATTACAATATTATTGGCTATATTCCCTATGCTGTACCTCACATTCCCATGACTATTTTGTAATTAGTAATTTGAATTTCTTAATCTCCTCTTCACCTTTTTCACCTGGTCCCCCAACCCCCTTCCCATCTAGTAATCACTAGTTTGTTCTCTTGATAGAAGAGTTCTAACTATCTCTGAACTGTCTGGCTCTTAAGAGGAGACATAATTTGATAAAATAAAATGTATCTATTTGTATTTCAAAGTTTTTGCTGATGTTAACTCAATAACTACTTCATATTGACTCTTTTTGTTATAAGAGGCTACCAAAAAAAAAAAATCTTAAGGGAATTCCTGGTACTACGTTTGACCAAAAGGAAATGCAAAAGTTTAAGAGTCATCCAAATTGGATCAACTTTTCACCCTGGGTTCTGTTTACAGACAGACACTTCAGCTCACTTTGTTGGAATGAGATAAATATAGCCAGTTTTGCTTTGATCTGTAGTCAGTTTGGCTTTCCAATCTTGGCACAATAGTGACATTTAAGAGGCAAAGGGATAAAATTATTTTCATTCCAGCCTTTTAAACATGGTGAAGACTTATAAAACAACTCTGGTCAAATATGAAGTTGGACCTAAACAGGCTATTTCTTATTTATAAATAGTTCTTTTGTCTTACAGTACTGAATATTTACAGAAGTATTAATAGTTAAGCATATCCATTCTTTGCATTAATTTTATTTTTAAAGATAAGGACCGATTTGTCTGTACTTGGAGAACAATGAGTGAGGAATAATTGCTACAAGATACAGCCCAAAGCAAGGTGAAATGGTTCTTATAAATAAGTCCTTGTTATTTCCAAAAAAAAAAAAAAATCATAACTCTGAAAACAATTGGTCAGGCTTACAGAAAATAAAACAAATTCTTGTTTATATATCTATTTCCTCATCACTCAACAAAAAGTTGTCTGAGTCACCTGAATTCTTGCTGCCTCACCTAGTATTTTAATTTGATAGCTGAGAGTAGTTATAAGAGATGAGAGACTTCAGGGTAAGCTTGTAAATTGAAGAACCTCATCCATTCCAGAACAAATGGTCTCCTTCCTTTATATCAGCTCCTCTTTCCATTTCCACCACTCTTAAGGAATTGAAGGGGAAGAGAAGGAGAACAAAGGAATTTGAAGGGATATTGAGTGGCATACAGGCAAAGCCTGTGGTCTGTGAGATTGCCTAACAGACACATACCTATAGACACAAGCTTGTGTGGACTAACACCACAAGTTCGGATCTACGGGTTTGTGGCAACAGGCCTCAGTATCTTCTCTCATTTGGGGGTTTGACATGTCTGAAAATAAAACGTTAAAACCATTAGTCCAACCAAAGAGTATGTTAATTTATGCCAGAAATTGAAAGGCTTCATCCTGCTCTTAAAGAGTAAAAGTTAAGCGGCATCTTCTATATTTTTCCCCACATACTTCCCTTTGTTTTCATGTATGCTACAGATTGGTAAACTTTAGGTAAACTTCATCATTTTACTGTTTAATATTATGAAAGACTCATTTATTCAGTCCTTAACACACAATCTGGGTAAAGTATGGCAAATTATCGAAATAAAGAAAATTCTTTAAATTGTAGGGAAGGGGGTGGGGCAGGAAGAAAAACATGAGAGTACAAATGCAAGTTCATTCTTTTAAATATCTGTAATTACATGAAAAAAGAGTGAATTTTTTCTTTTCCATTTGCATTTTGGAAAACTGCTGAAACAAACTAGCAAGCACCACCAATAAGTTTGTACGTATTTTCCAAAAACTTCTAGAGGAGATTTCTAGCTATATTAAATTAGAAGATTCATCTTCAGAAAAAGTTAGTATTTTTATTTCCACCCTATTCTCACCCCCACCCCCATTATTGGTCCAAACACCAACACTGAGCAAGTATGAACATATTTTATATAATGTGTACCGGAAAAGAAATTGTAAAATCGCTCTGTCACAAACTGAGGATGTGGGAATAAATCTGTTTCTGAGTCTTTCTTATAAAAAGATTTCATTTGTCAACATAACATCTTTTCTTCAAAACCAATGTTCTTCTTGTAAGAATGGAACCTCCAAGGCAACGAACTTTTATTAGAGGCTCCTTTTGTGAATTTCATTGAGGGCATAGTCTTATTCATAAGCACTTCATGGACACATGATGCAAAGCAAAATAATTCCCTCCGTAGATGTTGGGGAAAACATATGCCTCCATTCCTTTGCAGAACCAAAAAGAGACCTTTTCTATTTTTGTTAGCAAAGTCTACAGATCTTGACTCTCAAAAATACTATCTCCTTTGCCTCAACATATAAACATTCATTCCTTCTTAAAAAATCTCAGAGACTCTACTAATAACAAAAAAGATGGAGCTAAATATGGGGATTATTCAGAGAAAAGAGCAGGCCCTTATATAAACTAACAGGTGAAAGCAAGAATACAGAAAGCCAATAGCAGGACGAACAGAGACTGAGGTGCAATCATTCATAGATACTTCATTGTCTGCTTATACCATCTTGACTGAGCTGTCTGTGGGCACAATTGCTTGGAGCACACTCCTAAAGCTAAGGTTGCCAAAATTCAAAATTTAGTTGCAGTTTCATGGTTTGACTTTTAGATCCAAAGAAACAACAAAAAACAGGTGGAAGTAGGTGGAAATCTAAACCAGTCACCTCAAAATTATCTTTATTTTATTTAAAAATGTTCATTTTTTTTCCTAAAATAAAAGATTTTAAAATAAACTCAAAGCCTCTTATTTTCCTTTGATCCCTCTGACAAAGGCATGCGGCCAGAGGTATTCGTGGATGGGCGCTCTGAACACTGTTAAGGATTGCTGGAACACATGTGACATAGGAGCTATTATTAAAATAGAAAGGAATAGGTCCAAGTTCCCAAAGTGATGAAAATTAATTGTTATTATTAAACTTATTAAAAAGATATAATACACTATTTTTTAGCAATGGCCAAAGATTTGTCAAAATGTTACATTTAATCATTTAAGTATCACATCCTTCATAAATTTGCACCCTCAAAATTCATAGGAAGGAGCTCAATACTGTACTTCAATGGGGAGGCATCTCTGTACCTTTTTTAGCGGGGGCCAAGTATAGGACAGAGAGAAATTTTCATCCCAAATGGTTTGTAGCATTAACTTCTAAACAATTCAGTTTTAATTTCAGAAAATAAAAGAGAAATCAGAAGATGCCTAGACTGCAGAAAAAAAAGAAAAAGAAAAAGAAAAAGAAAGTCAAATACTGACCTAATAGAAGGATGGTTTTTTGGGAATATATATTTTACAAAATATGAATTGAATACCTCCTTTAAGAACCTTCTTTATGTTGAAGAGAAAAATAAGGATTCTTTTCAGAGGTAAGTTTGGCTTTCTTTATTAAGAAAGATTCTATGGGGCTCTCTTAGATAGCAGTACTAATAATTAAGTTGAAAAATATAGGTTAATGCCTGTAAACAATGACAAAAACTGAGTAAGGCAATTTGTCAAGCAAATATACCATTTATGTTATGAAAAAAATTAATTGGCACAAAGTCTTTCAATAACACTAAAAGGAAACTTCTTATAACATGATAGTTGAGCGCAAATCTTAGTCACTGGACATGCCTGAAGATAGTTCCATAAAATGCCACACAGTATTACCAATCTAGGACTAAACTTAAAGCACAATATTGTTATTACACAATTTATATAATAAACCCTGTCTTTGGGGAATTTAGAGTACATGGTACACTTTTTAGAGATAATTCTCTAATATTTATATTTTTAAATTCGATTACTAAATACAGCAGAGAGTTTAAGGATAGTACCTGATGGTTTCAAATAAGTTCTGCCTCAATCATTGTTGAAAGAAGTAAGCAGTGTTAAGCAATAAGTTTCAAAAAAACTTTCTGAATTCTATAGAATTGAATGTCATGACCATTCTACTTACTGGCTATGAATATTATAAAACTGGTTGCTATTTTTAAAAATCAAGTTTAAAATGCAGTTATTCTTCATAATTAAATCATTCACATATGCTCTAAAAATTGCAATACTCAAGGATGGAAAATTTGAGGAAATTATAGGAAAATACTATTACCTGAAAAAGTAACTTCTTATAAATCTTACTTTTTAAACCTGCTGCCATCTTGCTAGTCCAATATCTTCAAACCATCCACCTGTGTCTGGAAAATAAAATTATTTTAAATGGGTCACAATTTTTTGCTTTTTTGTTTGTTTGTTTGTTTGTTTGTTTTTGTCACCCAATTCTTTTCTAAAGCTAAATTAGAATTAATGCCAGAAAGAGAGCAAAAAAGAGCACCAGAAACTGAAATAAAAGTAATTCTAGAAAAACACTGGGCAGCATTATGTTTACTTCATTTTCCAAACAACATATGTATAAAGTATCTGAAAATAAGTAACTTTCACATTCTTCCTGGAATTTCCCTGGCTACCAACGAAACTTGAGAATGACTTTACCAGAAAAGTGATCAAACAGGAATGTGAAGTCTTGGAATACTCCCAAATTCCAGTGTTTTATACCAAACCACTCATTCACTAAATATGATTAAGAGACAGGCTATCAATAATTAAGAGTGGTTAAGTTATAATCAGGTTGGTCAATCATTACCTGGCATAATGTAGCATCACTGAGACATTGTTTAGCTTTTTGATTCTGAAATGATTCAGGAATCATTATTTCTCTCTGCTAATAGGGCTGTTGAAAAGAAGTGGAATATCTGATTGTGGTGGATTCATGAATCTATCCTCCTTCCACCACAGCAGGATTCTTGGCTTCCTCTCCAACGTTCTTTCATTGCCCATATTTTAGACACAAGGTTTATTTCTCCTTCATTGTTCCTTTATCAATGGAAGGAAACTCATTGCACAGCTGCTTGCAAAATGGATGATCTATTTGAGTTTTATCTAGCTATGGACTCGAACACCAAATTCATGGGGATGTCAGGAGAATGATACCAACAGAAAGGTTTCCTGCCCTCCACCCTCTTTCTTTTTAAAAGATGTATCTCTTGTTCAGAATATCCACCAAACTTCTTTGTCTCAAGGGGATAAATCAATTCAATTGAATAATTTTTCATAAAGGAAGGAAGGAGGAAAAGAGACACACACACACACAGAGAGAGAGAGAGAGAGAGAGAGAGAGAGAGAGAGAGAGAGAGAGACAGGAGAGAGACAGAGAGAGTGAGAGCGAGAGCGAGAGCGAGAGCGAGAGAGAGAGAGAGAGAGAGAGAGAGAGAGAGAGAGAGAGAGAGAGAGAGACAGGAGAGAAGGAGGGAGGAAGAAAAAAAAGAAAAGAAAAGAAAAGAAAGAAATCAAAAGAAAGAAAAAGAAAAGCTCAAATCTACCCTTTGGCATTCACTCTGATTTCATGAAGCAGGGGAGACAGCTAGTCTTCGGTCTTCCTATGGCTTTTCAGTTTTTCTGATGTCTTTTCTCTCATCCTCTGCAGCTCTTGTTATTTTATTTTATTTTTTTTTTGTAGAAAGATCCAATAGCCTTAACAAAAGTGGCACATCCAGCAATTGCTGCTCCAAGTGTAATTTATTGTGCCATGTAAAACACAATGCTTTATCCATCTATAATATCGCCACCAGGACACCAGACCCCACTGTGGGAATGCCTCTCAAACATGCTATGCAGAGGCTTCTGGCACCAAAGCCAGCTAGCTTAAGTGAATTAATTCCTATCTACCCAGGAAAAACTGGCGAGGAAGGAGTAGAGGAGGGAGGAGACTGGCAAAGCAACACCAAGGTTTTCACGTTCCTTTCAGGCAAAGGGAAAATTAGAAATTGATAGTTTATAATCTCCCTACCACACACCCCTCATATTAAAAATATATTTTACGTAAAATAAAAACTAAAAATGTTGCTAGGTTGACTAAAGAACGAAGACGTGAAAATGGCATGATAGAATAAGACAGATTAAACTAAAAAAAAAAAAATGATGCCCTTAGATTAATTGAGTAGTCAATGTTTTTTTTTTTTGTAATTTAAAAACAATCTTAAATCCACTAAATGTTCATTTACAACAGATGTATAATGAAGATCAACTATTTAAGAAGGAGAAACTGGAGGCAAATTTGCTTTTGATATACTCAATGAAACAAAAGAGAAAGAGGCTGCAAGTTACAAGTTGTTTCATGTGCAGCTAGCTAAAAAAGACTACTTTCATTTTTGAATGAAATACATTTGCTCAGGATGTTTTTCTTCCTTTTTAAAATGCTAACAATGATGCCAGCCTACAACTTCCTTTCTAGCTATATTGTTAATAAAGCCAGGAATATTTTTTAAGAATTAAAATTTTAAAAATTATAGATGTTGATTCTGACATAGGAACGAGGTATATATTTTTAAAAATCAGATGTCTGTCATTTCTTTAATATAAACTATATGCCGCACAAGGCTTCCTATATGCCAGTCAACTATAACACTTTTATATTCAAAGTTATATTTTGCTCTTGAGAAGGCATGCCACTATTCTATTAGAAAGCTACAAATTAAGTGAAGGTAAAGGGTGGCTTGGAAAAGAATTGCAGATTAAATGACTTGTATCCTGCAAAAACAGAGGTATGCAATGTCCAAAGCATCAGTGTTTCTTTACAACCTTGATTGTATAACAATGGGATTCTTGTTCTGGAAAAAGTACAAAAAAGCCTGGAACTTCCACAATGATATTTATAAAAAGAAGCAACCATCAAACACAAGAAACAAAGTTCAGCTGAAACAGAAGACATTTGCCTTACTCCAGAGTATAGATTCACTTAGAAAAAGGAGCATCTGAATAGCCTACTAACTCTCTCTGCCCTTCACCCTAGGAGAGGTCAGCTTTTCTTCTCTAAGGCTGTCCATGTCTACTGATTTTCACATTTTCCTCTTCATTTGGAACAACAACAAGCAAACAAATGGAATACAATTTTATATAACCTCCTCCATATTAAAGCTTGGAAAGAAAAAAGTATTAATCTATATTACCTACTTTTGGCTCTAAATTTTTCCCCAAATTGATCTTTTTTGCCGTTTAGCCCTCTATCTACTCCCCTAAAAAGCCCCCACTTCAAGTCTCTCTCTCTTCTCCTTGCCTGTCCTCTTTCTTCTCTCTCTTTCTTTCTCTCCCTCTCAAGCACACATGTATGCATGCACACGTGCACACTCACATACATACAAACACATGCTTGTACACATAACACATACTGCTGCTTGGTCCAATCTGGTTAATAACAACAGAATGACAAGCAACATCTGTTTGTAAAAGAGCCAAAATCAAACCTTAACATTTTTGGCTAGGTTCCTTCTTTCTTTTTTCCCCCAACTCTAAAAGGGGAGGAGGCAAAAAGGAGAAATAGTAAGGTTTATATTCAACATCAGCTCCAATGAGGCAGCAACTATACTCCCCCAGAGCCATTTCAAGGCAAAGCAATTTTAGGTAAAACCATTGCAGTATTTATGGTTGTGTCCCCTGAAATGAGCCGAGTCACATAAAATCCTACATACAGATTCTTAAGAGTCAGATTTTTTTCTAATAGCTTTATATTCATCTTCTGATTAGAATTACGGATCTTTTGTGCTTGTGTGTGTTGAGGTGGGCATGAAAGATAGAAAAGGAGAAGAGCATGACAGAAAAATAAAATAATAGAGAGGAAGAGAACTCTGCTGTTTCTCCCCTTTTATATCACACATACATACCTACAAACATAAAAACAGGCACATTTACACAAACATACGCCACACACAAGAACATGTACTAGGAGAGGCTGTGGCAGAAATCTGCACAGCTGTGGCCATCAGAAACAGGCTCTATCACTCCCCCATGGAGACTTGAATTTCTGAAAAGTTACCAACAGTGCACAAAGTCACAACGCAAAGGATCTACTAAACAGGGGAGGGGTTAGGGTGGGAGAAGAGTTGGTAAGGGAAAGAAAGGCTCGTTAACCAAGTGAAATAGTTTCACCCTCATAGAAGAGAAATAGGGGGACTGTTAGATACTCAACTCCTATTTCACTGAGGGTTTGGAAGAAACCCACACACATTAAGGGAAAAATAAATTCAGACAAGTTGCTAAGGAGACTTGTGTAAACTCCAAGCACAGACACATTTCTTGGCCTTTCCCCCTATGCTCCATCTTGTATTCTGATCACGCTGCTCTGCGGCAACGTTGCACCAACCTTCTGCATTAATCTTGGCCTTCACCGTGCAGACTGGCAAAGCACACTGGTTGTATATATCATCATCTTTCAAACCTAACAAGTTAAAAAGTGTCTGTATATGTGTGTATAACTAGTTGGAGGGAGAGATTAGGATAATTTAATTTGAATTTTTAAAACATAGGTGTTGAACAAAGAAGAATACTTAGATTTCGTGTTTGGGAGGCTTTGTTTTTGGGAGGCAGGGGTAGGTAAAACATCTACCTTTGGAAATTTCCCTTTGCCTGTAGATTTCATCTTTTCTCTATGCCCTTGCCTTTTCCCCTTCCCACATCCCCAATTAAAATTATTTGTCTCTGGCAGAGGTAAATAGTGCCTGAATCATTGCAGATACCCTGTAGGGGCCCAGGCCTCTGCAGAAGGCAGTGTACTACACAAAGTGGAAGCCTATTCCCCTGCTCAGGAAGGTGTCCCAGTGAGATCAGCTTTTTGAAAACAAACTAGGACAATTCATAAACCTCTAAACCAAACGTGTTTAGATTCTAAAACAGCCAGAATTTCAGAGAAGAGACTCCAAACCAATATCTGTGCTCAGGAGCAGAAAATTCACCCCATAATGACACACCTGCAGCAGGAGTTGATATGTATCAATATTTGATTTAGGGGAAATTTTAACATTTTCTTTCAAGACAGAGATGTTTGTAGTGTAGAAGCCAATATTTTTCTTTTTCAGCCTTCTGTATTAAAATTTCTAAAATTTTCCCCAGGACATAGGGGGTTAGACAATAAATACCTTTAATTATTGCTCAGGGTGCTGGGGCAAACCAAAGTTAGGGGTGTGTGCATGTGTGTGTGTGTGTGTGTGTGTGTGTGTGTGTGTGTTTATATGCGTGTGCGCGTGTAGTTCTCTGCTTTGCAATCATGAACGGAAGAGTAAGACACACATCAAGGTAGCTGGATGTTGGCATCTGCATGTTCTCTTCCCAAATTCAAGAAGTTCACAATGTCTGGCCACCAGCCACA